AAATTCCCATCCATCTCTCAAGATTTACTTTCTTTCTCTGCCGCAACGAATCCGTACGTACACACACACCAACTCTCATTGCATCCACTCACACACATGAACACACCCCCTCCTGCACCCATACCAACACACACACACACACACACACACACACACACACACACACACACACACACACACCCATTTCACCCAAAAAAAAAACACATGAACATTTCACTTTGTCCCCCCTTAGAAATTATTCCCCATTTTTCTATAATACTGGTGTCACCGAATTTCCTCTTTAATTACAGATCAGTTATTTCCTATTACTGCCATAAAGCTTTGGGTTAACAATTTTCTTAATTTCATGCATGAAACTATAAGCTGTGTTTGGTCCTTTTGTCAATGTATTAACTGATGTTGTAATAAATTCACAAAACGTAAATAACGCCTGATTATTTCTGGCAATCTCGAGAATAGCTGACGCATTCTGACAAGAACTCAGCTTTCAGACTAATTTGTAGTGTTAAACTTTAGACTGATGACCTTGAACAAAATCTAAATCTCCCCTCAAGTGTTCGCAGTCACACTAACAAAGGCTGGGTGGTGGCCTAATTAATTAATATAATATTATAAACGACAAAGACAAGCTAAGTACACACCACATTTGATAAATACAGATATAAATCTATATTTATCGCTACAGTTAATAGGATTAAAATAATAAAATATAAAATTTCCATAACAGTATCTGAAGGAATGTGTGGCTTTCTGAGGAATGTTTTGGTAAAGCTTTCCAGACATGGCACATTCTGATTTGCCAGAATACACCAGAAATCCTAACAAAGTAGTTTAATAAAACAAGAATTACTTCCCGATTAATTCAGTTTCCAGCTGAGCCCGATTCGGCCAAATCAGGAAAGAAGCCTCTTTTGAAACAAACTCCTTTGACCTCAAATCAAACCGTTTCTGCGACGCTGCAAGTGAATACAGGCACAACAGCTCTTTTCAGAGCTACTTCAACTCAGACATCCACCTTGGACACCTAACCTGCAGACCCCGGGTTGCATCTCATGGCCGGGGAAACTGAACTCAGAGGAAGCTACTAATCTCTGAGTATTGTGGTTTCGATGTCCGGTGACCTCACCACTCTGACCGCAACCCTCCGGACCGCCGGGAGGAACTCGTACCAGGGTATCGTAAGCCTGCATACTGGTGTCTGATGAGGTTTATAAATAAACAACTCTCTAGTTTATAACAAATAACAAATTCTTTTACACCCAGATTTCACAATTTCTCTCAGACACAAAGAACGGTTGCTACAACATCTAGCTTCCATCACAACACCTCACATCCACCACACCACATCTCATTATTCATATCTTGTCATGTGTAATCATTAATTTAGGAAAAATAATTACAAATTCATTTTATAAACTATATGCTGACTCTGTCTGAATTAATACGAAGTGTGTTTATGGTCCCTGAAGAAGAAGAAAAGAACCCTAGAATCTTCTGATTAAACATTCAAAGATCAATAAGATTGATATTTCATATTTATATGGAATCATCACATCTTATTGGTCATAATTAATTTGTATTTATTGCTACACCTACTACTAAAAGTCTCCAACCTGTGGCTCTGGGGCTACGCGTGTTCTTCTGGTAATCCTGACTGACATTAATGTAAAAGTAAAGGAACAGGAGCATTCTGGGTAATAAGTGCATTAGGTTTAGGGATGCTCTGATCTGGTTTTATGCTGCTGATCACCGATATCGATCACATGGATTGGACATCACTTTCCTACTCAGGTATGATGAGTGCCCTATGATCTGGGAATAAAGGGACAATAACATCACCTTAAATGTCCTAGATTCATTTAGACAAAGATGTGGTTTTATTTTTTTAGTAGAAAGAAAAAGTCTTGCAGCACAATTATTGTTTGTTTCTGACCACAACTTCTAAGCCTCCTACTCACAACCCGAGCTTTAGAACTGAAGGAGCTTCTTGGATGAAAGCTAAGATGTCTTCAAGATAACCAGAAAGTCCAGGGGCCTCATTCGTCAGAGTTTCATAGAAGAATTCCTAAATTACCTCCTATGAACAAAATTTAGAACGTTTGTATGAACGGTCAACATCCTGACTTATGAAACGTGCGGTGGCCTCTCGTGGTCACGCTACGTCCTCAGCTCATGAGGGGATTTCCTGGGATCTACCTGAAAACAACAAATCATGGCTATCGACTTTGAGATTGAGACGCCGGCTGCTGGTCGGGACAGAGGAGAGGTTCCTGTCAGCAATAAATAAATAATAGAATAGGATTAATGGAAGAGTAACGGGTGGTCTTTTTCATTTAAGAAGTCCTTCTGCTTGGATTTAGTTTCATTTGGAAATGTCTAAGAGCAGCCTCTGAGCTGTCATTCAGTCTGGTTACCTGGGCAACAGAGGAGGTTCTGGGGGTTGTAATATAGAAATTCAACTAGAGTCCAATTCGTGCGGTCTGTCTGTCGCTTGCCAAAGGGTTCCAAATCACAGCATACCTCCAGAAGGATCTCTTTCAGGAGACCAGTGCACTCACGGAGGACGTGTCCTCTCTAGAGAGCACGATCCTCCAACAACAGCACATCAGCCACGCTACAGTGTCAGGTTCCTGTCAGTCACAGGTGTCTTTACAGGTTTCAGCACCAATTATGTGTTCCAGGTGGATTGGATATTGGTGGTCTACACTATTAGGACCTTAATAAGAGCTCCACCTGTTTTATCATCAGTTCCTCTTTTGAAATTGTTCTCCACAGCAAAGCTCGACTGGCACGTTTAACCCTTAAATGCCCTGCTTGTGATCCAGCGTGCGGTACAACCCTTCACCATTCATGGACAAGCTCGGCTCGAGCTCGCAGAGGCCTTACTTTACAGAAGAGACTGTCCAACAGTGGGTCCAGTTCCTCAGCTTACCTCCCTGCTGGCTTGAATCCAGGGAACGTGCTGGCCAGGAGAGGGCTTGTCCACACGGTTCTGATTTCTGGTGGTAAGGGGGTATCGTAGAATCATGATGCAGAGCAGAGAGTGCAGTTCAGGTCCAGAGATGCTGCTACGGGCCTTGTTGATCCCAGCCGGACCTGGGTTTAGGAGTTGTCCTAGACTGGAGCTCCCTCATGAGAAAGAAGCTCTCAGTTATAGAACGGATTTAGTGATTTTGTTAATAAAAGTGACTCACAAGAGACTAAGCTTTCTTTCTGGGTCCTGATTGTTAAGTTATGAGATAGTTCAGGAAGAACTCAGTTACCCAGAAGGCCAGGGGCAAGAGGGGAGTAGCACTGGCTGGAGGGAACCAGAAGGGAGGTGGTGATCAATAAAAGTCTGAAACTGAGTTTCCTTGTTTGCTAATTAGAAGATTAAGCTAAACCACACGTGGTGTCAGAAGTGGTCGTGAGCAGCTAAGCAGAAAAGGTCTGCCATGAGGGAGCTGAGAAAGAAGGTGTCCAGTAGTGCGAGCAACGGTGCAACATGCTAACTGTGCTGGATCGTAGGAAGGCCGTGAGCAGCAGAGAACGAGGGACACTAGAGCCAATAGGAGAGGAGTCCATGCCGGAGAGAGTAAAGGGCTGCAGTGATACGCCAACGTGCTGCCATGGTATGCTAAGTCTGCCCTCATCCATACAAGTGAGCGCTAACCCTGCTGATAATCGGAATCACTTTAATGGCAGGTGGTGATGCTGAAAACCTGAAAGCTCACATCCTTTTGCATGTCATGAGGGAAGATGCATTGATATACACATAATAGCCTTCAGCTGATGAAGCTAGTCGCACTTTAGACGACGTGATGAATACAGTTGAAGAGGACTTTGTGCCTGAACAGAATGAGACCTATGAGAGGTACAACTCTTTCACCCATGACCAGAAGCAAGGCGTAGCTTTTGATCAGTATTAACCTGAGCTTCACACATTAAGCTAAACGTGTGAATTTAGGGTTGTCTGTGGATAATGCACTGAGAGGAGAAGTGTGTGCAGAGCGGCAGAAACCACATAAACACAATTAATTTAAATTCAATTATGTTTCATTTCATTGTATGATGGCCTGAAAACACACCCCTCCTAAATAAAATACATTTACATAATTTTTTTAGGGATTTGAGTGGGTGGGCCTGGGCCCACCCATATCCACGCCCCTGGACGTAGGAGGCGGATTTAATGTGACATCACCGTTAGACTGCAGTCGCTTTCAAAAATGGAATAATTACCCCAAATGAAAGTGACTGTGGTCAGCTTTGGAAATAAGATCAGATCTGTGCAGTTCTGACTCAGGAAAAATGGGATTTGATGCACTTTTGCCTGCAGTCATCCAGACACAATGTGTGAAGCATTTTAATGCATTGTAATGTTACCAAGCACCACTAGATGGTGCCACAGCTAATGGGTTCAAGGCCTCGAACCATGTACAGCAGGCGTGGGGAACCCTGGTCCTCAAGGGCCGGTATCCTGCATGTCTCTGCGCCAACACTTCTGATTCAGTGGTTGATTCACCTGTTCAGCAGCTCATCAGGCTCTGCAGATGCCTGTTAATCATCTGCTGATTGAAATCAGGTGTTTTGAAGCAGGGTTGAAACCAAAATATGCTGGATAGTGGCCCTCATGGACCACGGTTCCCCACCCCTGATGTATAGAAAATGCTTTGAAGTGCTTCATGAGCACACCACTGGTTGAAACAGCTCCACCTTTGCCAAATCCATATGAACAGGATTAAAAGAGCTGCCACACATGACCTTAGTCACACTTGCAAGTTCAGGACATAAAATTTTATTTAAAATAAAAATATATTTTTTTCTTCAGTGTGACGTAGATCTGTCTGGATTTCCTAATCCTAGAGTTTCACCATCAGAAGCTGATGCAGGAGATAGGTGTAGGAGACCATCTTCATGTTCAGCCTACATGAAAACTCAGTGACTAAAATAATTAAATTTGGGTTTTCAGTTACGTTGACCTTTAAAGCAGAGCTGTAAACACAGAAACATCACCACCAATGTAACAAAACTTGAAACATTTATTCCAAATTTCATGTTTTTTTTTTTGTTTTTTTACAAAACACCGTAGCACTGCCCCGTCGGTGCTCCCTGGAATGGTCGTAGGTAGATGGACCCAGCTCCACATCATGACGCTCCTTTGGTGTTACAATGGCCTACCAGACTGCGGGGCAATCAGTGAAAAAGTGGCCTTTCACCCCCAGCCCACCCCCACGTTTCCGGACAGCCTCTACTCCTTGGCAACAGCAAAAGGCTTCTCCACCTCAATCTTGCCACAGTCATGGATGACGACATCTTTAAGAGGTTTGTCGCGGCCATCTGTCTTTGTGCTCTCGATCTTCGCCACTACGTCCTGAAACACAAAAGGTAGCATTGATCATTAGGAGAATCAGCAAGAACCCAACATGGTGGTGTTGTACCGCATTCATAAACCTTTTAGTCTACTCAGGTTTCCATTTTAACCTCATGAATCTAACTGCTATTAGCCAAGTTGCTAATCTGGAGTCTGGTTCTGGGTCCAAGCTCATCCATCAGCCTGCTAATGCTTACACACAACCAAGAACAGTCTCACTCCTCACTAGGGTTCAGCCAGATACTCATTTTCAGACCACTGTCCGGTACGGATAAAGCATTTTTGAAGAGTACGAGCATAAAACATGTAAAATTCAGCAATATCTGTGCTGGTGCTGAAGCAAAAACGGGTAACCGACCGTCTTCACGCTCTGTGATTGGCCAGTCACACAGAGCGCCTGGGGGAAAACACTGAACCGTGCTTCTGGAAAAGCCTGTTCAACTGGATCAAACCCATCCAAGTCACTGTTGAGGCTTTAGGACTTCAGGGTCGTCACAAGGAGTAGGTCGCATCATGTGTCGCTCCTCCAGAGTTGACGTTATTTCATGTTTTAGGCGCACATGTGATTTTTTTTTTCTTCTTGTTTTGAGTAGTTGTTGTGCTTCTCAAACAGGTTAGACTGACATTAACAATGTTGTAAAAAGCTGGTACAGCTGCCGGTGTTTCTTAGCCCATCCCTGCAGCCCGCAGCCTCGACTACATCCTTGCCTCGTAGTGAGACCTCGCCTCAGCCTGCATCATCCAACACGCCGTCTGCCGAAATGGACTGCTCCGTTAAGGCTGAGCTCCTGCCTGCGCAGTGTGGGGAGATTACAACAATACTGAAAAGGGAGCTGAAAGCAACACAATTATGTCTATCAAGTCTGACCTGCAGGTGCTGAAACAGACCTCTGAGGCACAGTGACGGATATGAAAAGGTCTCTTTCTACATGTATGGATCACGTTTAACTCCAGGCTAAGTTGGATGCCATTTCAATAAGGCTGAATGCATTGGAGAACAAGTGTGAAGACGTGGAACCCAGGTCCAACCATAACAACACTTGTAGATGTTCCAGAGGACAAGCCTGCACAAGCTCCAGCTCTTTCAATGACGTTTGCTGCCAACTTCGGAGCATTGAAGGAGCTTAATTAGGCATCCTTCATCCAGCTAGACTTTGCATCACGTATAGAGGAATGCAACGTGATTTGATCTCATCAAAGGATGTTGAGGATTATATCAAAACGATGGTTCTGATAAAGATGCATCGTGACACAACCTTTTCTTTTTCTCTTTTTTCCTTTCTTGACTGTAGCCAAGTCAAACTCGGACCCAGACACTACTGTGGTGAGTTAAGCTTATGAACGTTTATTTCCCCCTGGAGGACCATTTTACGTTGCTTGGCTTGTCCAGAGACAGAAAATATCAGTACTATCATTATTATCTTGTACTTTGTGTCAAAGTTACTCTGCTGGAAGGTTGGTTACGAAGTTGGGAGTGCTTTCTTTTGGTTTGTTCGGCAAAGAGCCAGCAAGATGGGGCCATTATGGTCTACTTTTTTTGGCCAAGTGGGAGGGGCTAAAACTGCAGTTCCACCCTCATCCACTAGGGTATGAGGGTGATACAAACTCAAATTTGTATCTTCTTTCATCGGTTTGAAATGCTATAATTTTATGACGGTTTTATTTTGTTTTGATCTTAATGAAGCACTGTGATTATATGTCTGTGATAAGTGCTATTGAAATACAATTAACTTAGTAAAAGTAAAAGTACAGATTTTTAAAAACGACTTCAAAAGTATAAATACACAAACGCTACTCAATTACAGTAATGTAAGTAAACGTAATTTGTTACTTTCCACCTCTATCAATAATATTGATTATCAACATTTTTATGGGTTATGACTTTATTGAATACCTTTATAAGTTTATTAAAAGTACCCACTTATGAATGGTTGCACAAGTGTTATGGTAGAGATGATAGGCCTTGCAATTAAGGGTACTGATGGAAAGTTTACTCCCATATGGGGACCCTCCATGAGCTATTGTCACTAAACGTTGCGTCCACTGTTTGATGTAGTGGGCGTAACATTTTATTTTTCAATAAACAAATGAGAGAGAAAAAAACAAGCATTAGCCTGTAGAGGCCTGCAGATCATAGGAAACATCAGCAGATGTCTGTGATACCCACCATGCCCTCCAGAACCTTTCCAAAAACCACATGTTTTCCATCCAGCCAGGGCGTCTGCACCGTGGTGATGAAGAACTGAGAGCCATTGGTGTCCTTGCCAGCGTTGGCCATGCTGAGCCAGCCGGCACCATAGTGCTTTAGCTTGAAGTTCTCATCAGGGAAACGGTCTCCATAGATGCTCTTACCTTCATGCAGAAAAGAAACAGGTTGTGATCAGTCAGATGTGACTTGGGTTGTGAAAGGAAATGTTTGATCACACATGTAGTCCTGAATGCTGAATCATCTGTATGCTAATCCTTATATTTATTCCACTGCTCTTCTGTTACTCATGTACCTTTAAACTGAATGATGCATATAGGTCATCATCTCTTCGCAGTAACCAAATCTGACCACAGGATGTCACTGTTACTCAATTCTTACATAGTTTACCTTTATACCCCAGCAATCTCAAAAACAAAAACAAAACAAATTTACATAAACAAAAAAGTTCAAACATGGCTAATGAGTAAAACCAGGGTACTCAGAGGCTGAAGAGGTATGCTGTGCCGTCTGACCTCTACTTTTAGATGTAGCGTTGGAGAAGGCCATGGATTGCAAAGGTTAAGACACGGTCCACAGCCTGCTTCATCAGTGTGACACAAGTTAACCGTCTGGTCCCAAACCAGAAAACATACGGCTCTTGACCTTGCTACCAGGAGGTCGAAACCATAACAATCGCTCTCCTGCTTTAGTATCTGCAGGCACAAGTCTCCTGCAGAAGACAAGACTCTTTCCAACATAAATAAATAATCTTATTTTGTCTAATAAATTATTTCTTTCACTTCACAAGTTGATTACGATCATATTTTGTTTTATCTACAATGAATGTTTTATCTAAACTGATTTAATAATGCCTAGACTGCTTTACAGTAATGAATAAATCATCATGATTATTATTGAAATGCCTTATATTCAGATCTTAAATATACCAAATGAGTCTACTCGATTATTTAATGATTTATTGTCAGTTATGTCACATTTTAATATCAGCATTAACAAATTAATGCTACATATTAATTTAAATAACTTTTATATAAGTGTCTGAGAGATGGGTGTGTCTCCGTCCCGCAGCGCTCCTCCGTGAGAGCAGGGGTGGGGGTGGGGGTGGGATTGCACACGTTCCGCTGCCGTTTCTCACCAGTATCAGCTGCTGGAGGGCTCTAGTTTCGTTGTGCCGTTCGTGTCAGCGGACACGGTAGGGTCGGGGAAGGGGGCGGGGCATGACGCTTAGCCTGGCGGGTGGCCAAGCAAAGCCTGGCGGGCTGCCAGGCTTATACAGCGCTGGGGGAAACCTTGCATAAGTTAAATAATCATTTATAAACATATGTTTGAATGAACCAGATGTTATATGAAATGTTTGAATAATCTGTGCCTAATTCAGTGAAGTTGAAATGAATATTGTTCATACAATGATCCATTTACATCTTATGATCAATACTGTTTGATTTAACAATTATTTACGCTCATACACAATGTTCATTAGATGCAAATTAAGGTTGAGGTCACCTCACATAAAGCTATACATACTTTATCCACAGAGCAAGAACAGCTTGTATCTGGAAGGTGTGGCTTTCAGAGGAATGTTTGATAACGCCAACAAACATGTCAAATTCTGATTCGCAGAAATCAAACTCTAGATTATTAAAACTAGAATGACTTCCTGAGTTATTCAGTTTTGAGTGGAACTCTGAAGTGGCCAATTTGGAACCAGCCTCCTTGAGACACCTTCTCTTTTGACACACAGTCAAGCCTGTTGGCCCACTGCTAGCTGACACAGCCATACGGCTCATAAGAACATCAGTCTTAGACACAATGAACCTTCCTGCCTGTTGTGACCTGGAGACATCTCTACACCGGTCTGGTCATACTGCTGTTATTCTATGAACTTTGGTGCCTTGAGGTCCACCAGACTTCCTGACATTCCGGTTCTGACTGGGGGTCTCCGATCAGGGTTTGTAGACACAACAGATTACGTCTGATGTTGTTTTATTAATAATCAACTCTAGTTAATAGCAGACAACAAATTCTTTTACACCCAGAATTCACAATTTCTTTCAGATACAAAGGTTCTGATACACATCTACTTTACACCACACCACCTACAACACACATTACATCACCACACATACACTCCATCACACATCATTATTCATAGCTTGTCATGTATAATCATCAGTTTAGAAAAGAATAAAATTCCTTCTAACTATATACTTGACTGTCTAAATTAATACGAAGTTCCTGAACAAGCAAAGAATCCTAAACTCTTCTGATTAAACATTCATAGATCATGTTGAAATTTCATACTTAAATGGAATCATCGCATCTTATTGGTCATAATTAAATATGCAGTCGTTATGCTATAAAGTGTGACGCTACACAATTAAATAAAATTCAACCAGATTTATTTTATAAACCCAGGCATCACATCTTTCCGACTCTCTTAAGTTCATGTTTCAGAGTTTATTCATCGTCTCAGTTGATAGTACTGGATCGACTGGAACGCTGGGTAGGGATTACGGGGTCAGCTCTTGAATGGCTACGGTCCTACCTCCAGGGAAGGAGGTTTTGTGTGATGGTGGTCAACTCTGTGTCCAACTGGGAGGACCTGCGCTGGGGGGGTACCACAGGGTTCAGTCCTGGGCCCCCTCCTCTTCACCCTTCAATTGCTACCACTGGGTGTAATCCTGTGCATTCATGGCATTAAATTTCATTTGTATGCAGATGACTGCCAGATCTATTTTCCCCTGAGTCCTGAGATGGGTGGTTGTATCAAGAAACTCCAGATTTGTCTGGATGAGGTGAAGTTGTGGCTAGCAGCAAACATTCTACATGTTAAAGAGGGCAAGACCGAGCTTCTTACATTCCTCCCTTCTAGCAAGGGCTAGAAATTGACTGCAATCTTAAATTTGAAAGCCACATAAACCAGGTTGTGAGAATCTGCTTTTTTCACTTGCGCTGTCTGGCAAAAATCAAGCCAACGTTGGCTAGGACACATCTCGAGTCTGTCCTGCATGCATTTGTTTTATCGCGGCTTGATTACTGCAATGCTCTGTATGTTGGGCTGAGTCAGGCAGCACTGAAGCTGTTGCAGTTGGTTCAGAACTCGGCAGCTAGATTCCTAACAGGCTCGAACAAAACACACATTACTCCTGTCCTGCCACAGGCTCGAACAAAACACACATTACTCCTGTCCTGGATTCCCTACACTGGCTCCCTGTGGATTGCCGGGCAAAGTTTAAGGTCTGGTTGTTAGTCTTCCGGTCCCTCAACGGTGGTGCCCCACCATATCTGGCTGGGCTGCTTCAGATGCATGCCCGTACATGTTCTCTTCACTCAGCTGACCAAGATTTGCTCATCGTCCAAAGAACAAGGCTGAAAGCAAGAGCTGATAGGGCCATTTCTGTACTAGCTCCAACACTATGGAACGAGCTCCCACTTGTTGGCAAACAGACCCCATCACTGCAGGTCTTTAAGAGTCGATTTAAGACTTCTTTTTATCGTTTGGCTTTCATGTAATATGGCTTTCATGTAATATGGATTTTTTAGAATTTTAGTCTTTTATCTCATCTGTTTTGTTATTTTAGTCACTCTTATGCGGTTTTAATCCATCTTGTGGTCTCTTTGCTCTTTTGTTTTTATGTTATATTCAGCGCCTGGGGATTCTTTAAAGGCAAGGGAAGATGCTATACAAATAAAATTTGATTGATATTACCTTAAATCACCATTTATAATCATTTGTCATGCATCATCATTAGTAGTAATTTAGTAATATATTGATTGTTATAAACTACATTTTTGCCTCTGTGTCAAATTACTATAAAGTATTTCCCTGGCACAGCCATAGAACCTAGTTTTACCATCAACCAAATATTAAAAGGCTCAATGATATTGATAATCCATATTTTTTATGGAGTATGACATTTTATTGAATGGCTTGGCATTTTATTGACAATTTTTTAAAAGTAACCACTTATGAAATGTTACATGTACATGATACAGGTTAGATCAGTCGTATTTTTTAAAGAATTCTTCCAGGACCGTATTGTAATTAAGCCCAGATACAGAGGTTGACCGGTTTTAAGCGTTCAGACAATTGAAAATACACCTGACCTCTCGCCTAGGGTGACCAGATCCCAACTTGCCAAATGTGGGACAATGACTACTCAATGTGGGACAACGTGAAGTTCCAATGTAATGAGAAAATGCAAATGCAAAGTTTAGAGCAGCACATTTACCCAGAGGCTCAGATTGAAAAAACTTGTGAGAATACACGCAATAACCGCTTAGAGACGGCGAAACATGTCGCTAGCATAGCGGCTATATAGCAAATATAAAGATATAAAGTCATTTTGTAACTTATTACAAAATGAACTCAAGTTGAAATGTTTTGACAGAGGGTTTTGGTTCCTCTGGGCTGGGTAGGGGGCAAGAACCATGCTTGTTATTTTGGAGACCTTCTGACCAAACGTTGTGTGATCTTTTACCTCCTGTACCATCTCCTCTGGTGAAGTCTCCACCCTGGATCATGAACTGCTTGATGACTCGGTGGAACTTGCTGCCTTTGTACCCAAATCCTTTCTGTTGAATTAAAACAAGCAAAACTAGCTAAATATAACTGTCTAACATCAGACTATACCAATTCAACAGGATTACATCTGGATGAATCTCCATACAAATGCAGGATTATTGACTAAACTAAGTAATAAATAACATCACCACACACAGTTACATGTCCAGTCCAATCTCGGTTCTAACTAAAGGCCTCCAAATTTCTCACCTCTCCTGTTGCCAGGGCAACAAAGTTGTCAGCAGTTTTGGGGACCGTTTTCCCAAAGACACCGATGACAACGCGTCCAACATCTTCATCTCCGATTTTGATGTCAAAGAAAACCTAGAAAAGAGGATAGAGGCCCGTGTTTAATCACTGAACCGGTCACAACCTAGGATTATTTTAAAAAGTCAGGTTTAGGTGAACGAAACGCATCGCTAAGCACCAACTAGGGTTGTCACGGTGTGAAAATTTAACCTCACGGTTATTGTGACCAAAATTATCATGGTTTTTGGTATTGTCGCGGTATCTTTTTAAAAAGTGTTACATTTTCAGACAACAAAATAAACCCTGTATATCAGGAAAATATTGTCCTGTGTGTCTAAATTTAGCCTAAAATTTGTTATTTTGTAATCATGTTGTTTGTTTACATATTTCCCCTTTAGTCTTTAAAATACCAATATTTGCCCATAACTTCTTATTTTTTGTCTGTTTGATGTCATCATTTAAAAAATATTAGATCAGATGATACTCACTCAGTACTGAAGTAGCCTTCTAATCAGATACTTTTTTACCCGTGCTTGAGTAATAAACCCTATATCAGGAAAATATTGTCCTCGGTTTGTGTCCTTCCAGTGAGCTTTGCAGATTTGGGAAGATGTCATCAGGCAGTAATCATTGTTAAATTCATAATCATTCTCGGAGACCAAATCTTTTCTGCCCCTGGGAGCCCCGTAATGCATAGCGTCATTTCAATATGGGGTGTCCGCGACACGGTTTATATGCAGGTAGCAGCGCTGCGGCTGCTTTATATAGTGACTCGTTGCATTCTTCCTCAACGCAAATCCTCGGCTCACGCATTTTAGCTAAAACACGAACGCTAACTTGCCTTGCGTTGACTGTAGAGTTGTGGGTGATGGTCACGCAGATGTGTCATGAGATGTGAAGCGTTGCTGCCTTTCACAGACACTTTTTCTGCACGTGCTGCAAACAGGATAGCCGTCTTCTATCAACTGTCCTTCGGCATTCTTCAAATATTCAAAAAATGCCCGTACATCCCACTTTGTCTTCTTTGAGGGATAATAAATGTCCTGAGCGCTGCCGTCTCCTCCTTTGGCCATTATTTCAGCTTTAGCTTCAAGAAAGTTTTGGTTGGAAACAAAAGTGCGCATATGCCGCCGGCAACTTCAGCAGATGATACGGTGGATGGGAAGGGTCACCGCGCCTACACCGCAGCCACGGTAATCCACAGAGATTTTCTTTTTTTAAAATAAGACTGTTATTATTATTGTCAACTTTTTACCGGGGTTTACCGCTACATTGGTTACCGTGACAACCCTAGCACCAACATGTTAAGGTTAGTTTATGCTTGACGCGTCCGCGAGGTCAGCACAGCTCCGCGCGGAAAAGTTGCGTCATTTTAACAACCACGCCCCTCCACCGCGTCTCCGCACGGCCCAAGATTTCCACAACGCGCATCTCGGAAAATTTCTAACCACGCGGACGGACGGACGCGGAAAAACATGGCGGACCAGCAAGAACTAGTATGGCAGAGGTTCGCAAATACAGACATTTGTACGATTCAGCTCTCAGAGATCACCGTGATCAACATGTTGTTAATAATTCCTTGAGAGAAATAGCTCGCACTGTCGGAAAAGACGAGGACATTGTTAAAAATGCTGAAATGTCATGTTGTAAACAGTAATTTCTACTTCTATGGTGTAGTGTTGGATGCATGCCGTAGAGCTCCATGCTGCCCCCTACAGTTTGGGAGAATATTGGCTCACCGCAGAAACGAGCCGCATGAACCATAAACGCTGCCAGTTGTGAAGCGCGTTCCATCCGCGAGCCGCATCACCAAGCGGAAAGTGAATGCGTCAAGCATAAGCCAAGCTTAAGCAGCCATCCACCATGACCCACTGGGGATGGATGTGGATGTGCGTGTGTGTAGAAAGCTGTACCAGAGAATAGACACTAAGGTTAAAGTTTGACAAGAATAAATACATTTTTATGCATTTAATCTACCGATTTATGTATATAATTTCTCTAGACAGTTTGAAATGAGTTAAAGTGTAAATATTTTACAGGAGGAAAAATATTGATATATATCGTATATCGGAATTCAGCAAAAAGATAAGTTTTGGTCCATATAGCCCAGCCCTACTTTAAATCCAGTCATGAATTTTGTAACACAAATACCTTTATGTTCTCCTCAGGTCAGCACAAACACTCAGACCAATGCTGGATTTGATTTTGGATGTAGAAAGTCTGACTTTCATTCACATAAACAGAAGAAAATATGCAATTTAGCTTAAATTTTAACTGGTTTAGTTCTTTGCCGAGTCGCAGGGTCAGCGTGTGAGGAAAAGGGCTTAAAGGTCTGTGTGGTGCTTTTAGGGACACCCAGAACTGTAGACGTGGACAGACCCGCGGCAACAACCGGGACTGGTTTGTCTTTGTTTAGCAGAGCAGTGAGTAAACATAACCTTAATGTTTTTAAGTGTAATGACTCTTGACAGGACCAGTCCTGATTCATTAGCTCATTCAGATTTACGTGTCCTGTTAGCAGCTAGCTAGTGTAAGCTCGGTGAGGAGCAGAAGCCTGCAGGCTCCCAGACCACCAGTGTGACGTGGCTTTGCAGGCAGGAGCTACCGGTTAGCATTACTACAATGAGAGCTCCGGTATTTCTATAGCAGCGTTAGCCTAACCAGACGCTAGCATGCACGCTAACACGTACCTTGGCCGTTACTTTGGGGCCTTTCTTCTTCTCGTCGGCAGATGAACCGTTTGGAAAGGCGAGAAAAATAAGTGATCCCACAATAACTGTAACGGCTACAAGGAACTTCATCCTTCTTTCACAAAGTCTCACCATCAACAAGAAGAACTAGAAGCACGGAGATGTTGGCTTTATAGGAGGCCCGCCGGAAAGGGGGAGGGTGGTGTTTGGAATGGGTACCGGAAGTTACGTACAAGCCTGTGTGCTGGACAAACGTAGACGCTTCACGACTGGAGCTACTGAAGTGGCCGGCCGCCATTTTAGATGGGTCTCCATTCTCCCCCAGTGCAATCATTCCTACTGAGTAAGGTGCTTACTAAAGGCCGACCGATATGGTTTTTCAAGGCCGATGTCCATTTTTTAAGAATTTTGTTGCAGATGGCCGATATCAAAAGCAGAATATTAAGGCGGGTATGCTTTCTGGTCTTCCCAAAAAGAGCATCTCAGGTTTACAACTTCAACAAAACTCTGCAGCACGTGTCCTGACGAAGACCAGGATGCGGGAGCACATTACACAGGTTTTAGAGTCATTACATTGGCTCCCTGTGTGCTTCAGGACCAATTTTACGGATCTTCTAATGGTTTTTAAGTGTCTTAATGGTCTTGGGCCTTCTTATCTCTCAGAACTGCTTTGACCATATGAACCCTCACTGCCTCTGCGCTCCTCTGGCAGGCGTCTCCTGGTCATCCCTAAAGTCAGGACACACACTCACATCGAGGCGTCCTTCCAGTATTACAGCCTTCGCCTCTGGAACGATCTGCCGGAGCACCTCAGGGCTGCAGAGAAGGTTCATGTTTTTAAGTCCAGGCTCAAGACCCATCTATTTAGGTTAGCTTCTATCAAATTATTTATTAGTTTTATTTCTTGTTTTACAGGATTATATTTTATGACTTGCTTTGCATGTTTTATATGATTATATTTTAGCATTGTTTCATTATTTAATAATATAATTATTTTACTGTCCATATTATTTTATTTATTATTTATTTTCTTACATTTGTCATTTATATTATCTCTTTTATTTTCATATTTTTACTCATTTTAATCCAGTGTTGTCTCTGTGGGGGCCCTCTGCCCCAGGAGCGGTGGTCGACTGTTGCTTCCTGGGCGCTCTACAGATAGTGTTTGAGTGGTGGTGGGAGGGCTATGCTCCCCCTCCTCTGTGTGTCCTGACTTATTTGCTGTGGAAGACCTGATGCTGCTGGGGCAGACGGCTCCTCTGATGGTGTTTCCTTGCCTTACCTTACTTGGGTCATCTGGACTCAGCCAAATATAAATTTTTACTGATGTAATTTTGTGTGCGTGTGTGTGTGCATATGTCTGTTAATGTTTTTAAACTGTTATGGGAATTTGGGGTCATTTTAATTCTGTAAAGCACTTTGAGTCGCACTTTGCTTGAAAAGCACTTTATAAATATATATATATATATATATATATATATATATATATATATATATATATATACACATTACATGCTGCAGCAACCAGGTCAAATTTAAATGTAGCTGCTGTCAGTAACAACCTAACAGGTTTAAATCATTTAAACTCTCAGCAGACTAAATAATGTCAACTCTGTGTTGTGAGATGTATTATATGATTATGATTATCATTATTATTATATTTATTTACTAAATATCTGCAGCAGCTCCTATAGCAGAACCAAGTGTCATCACAAGCTGTTGATCTAGCATGATGCTCTTTATTATTTTATGAGTTACATACGAGTGTTGATGCTCTGTTTTCATTTCTGCAGCGTACCTTACAAACCCACCTCGCTCCAGTTTCTACTTTAAAACTCGTATTAAATCTGTCTTGATGCATTTTAACGAGCTTGCTCCACGCCGTATTTTCCTTGTAGGACACAAACTTTACAACACTCTTACAGAGTAAAAGATTGGCAAATACGTTTGTTTACATGCTTACCCAACTAAAAACTAATTTTTACAACAAAATCAGACACAAAGGTGATATGATAATTAAAATATTAATATAATTAAACTAAATTTTAAATTTGTAAATGTAAAATCCTATCAGGTAGGCTAGAAAAATCAGTAGTCACCACGTGATCCGTTTTCAATTGCCGCTGGTTGTTGTAACCAGATATATATTGATTGATGGTTGTAACCGTAGGCTGCACAGAAACAGGCATAATTGCTCACTCTGCATTGCCTTTGGAGAGTGAGGAGACCCATCCAATATGGCGACGATGCTGTTACACTCTCCATTGTTCAATGGGGTGTCTACGTATTCATGTCTATGGTCACACACAGATGCACAAAGCTTTGATTGGATCACATTGCAGAAGCTTTTAGCCAATAAAATGCAGACGCGTTACTCTGCGTGTGTTTGTACTTGTCTTTACATAAAAGTGAGGACCAATGACAAACTTTTCTCCTGTGAACTCAGGACATAAGTAGTGAAGTCAGGACATTTTGCCTGGTCCCCACTTTGTTGCAGAGCTCTACGCCTTAGAGGTAGGGTGCATGGATTTTCCCAACCCACTCCCATTGTAAAGAATCCTTTTGTCCCAATCCCAGAAAGCAAGGAAAAATAAAATTACGTCCCACCCCAATCCCAATAAAACAATTCCCACTCCCTCCCATTCCCAGTAGTGTATATATATATATATATTACACCCCCTCTGTCTAGGAGCTTCAGGAGGGGATAACACAGGAAGCAGAAGAATATAAACCCAACTCCAGGAATGTTCAACAGGGAAAAAAAGGTTTATTTAAACACAAGATCACTCAAAGATGAGGTTTCAATAAAACACCGTAAAAGCAAATCAAATTTAACCAACTAGACTTAAGAAAACTCAAAATGCTGGTCAAACCCACAGCACTAATAAATGCAGGAAGACTCTAACTTAACCAAAATTATTTTATTTCTAAGGCAGGGATATACACTCAACAAGCAGAAACCAAAGCTATAAACTACTCACTCAACTTCCAACCAATGAAGCACCATCCCACAGTCCTAAGTGTCAAATTATCCTTAGCTCAGTAATCCAACATCCAAGCTCCAAAAGGACTAAACCGCAGGGATTATGTCAAGGCAACATGTTTGCTTTATGATTAACCACCCAAATGGGAGAAAACACAGCAGCCCAGTGTCTTTCCACCCTTCCTCCTGAATGTTTGCTGAGCACTTCCATAAACAGTCTCAGGTGAGGCTAAGTGCAGAGTGTCTTCTGCTGCTGTCTCTGCTGCTGGTAGGAGGTGTGTCTCTCCAAGGTGCAGATCCTGCAGGCTGACTCTGAGGGAAGAATGGCACACAGGCATTATCCTTGGGCCTGAAAGATGGGCATTAGAGACTGTAGGTGCAGCAGCAAGAAAAGGGCAGGAGGGCAGAAGAGTTACATTATGGGAACCATAACACCTTCCCCCTAAAATAATTTTAAGAAAGGAAGTTAGACAAACAAACTGACTGTCTTAAAACTCCCATATCAAAACACTAAGCAGTCAATCGAAGTGAATAACATGCAATAAAAGGCTGAGTCCCCGCTACCTGCCTGTAAGGAAGCTAACTACAGGTTAGTCTTCATGCAGATTGAAGGTGGGCAGATTAAACACGTGTTAAGAGACATACAAACCAGCCCATTGGGGTGGCCCATTGGCAAGCCCCATCGTCGTCATCCTGGGGTGCTCCAGAGATGGTCGGGTATACCAACACTAACCTTGTCCCCACAACACTACAAAATAAAAATAAAAAAACAGGACAAATCCCAAAGGGGATACGCCTCCACGTCCTACAAGGGGACTTGCCAGTGAAGTCATTTACAGGTAAAAAATAGAAGAACAGGAAAGGTGATTGTTATACATACAAACCTATACCCATTTACCATTCGACAGAACAGACCTTTATGGCAATCCGTCAGCATCTGAAGCGGTGCGAGACAAGCAATCCACCAAGACATTCTCTGTCCCCTTTTTATGCTTGATCTCAAGCTCAAATCTTTGCAGGAACAAAGCCCAGCGCATTAAGCGCTGGTTGTGGTTGAACATCCTGGATAAAAAGGTCAAACTGTTATGGTCTGTGAACACAACAAGAGGCCCTTTTCCCGATCCAACATAGACCTCAAAATGTTGCAATGCTAACAGTGCTAATGTCTCCTTTTCTATAGTTGACCAGAGGTACATTTCTTAGAAAAATAGGCGATGGGGTGGTCCAATCCATCGCAGTCTTCTTGGAGAAATACAGCACCTACTCCAACATTGCTGGCATCAGTCTCAAGTTTGAAGGGCCTGGACAGGTCAGGAGCACTCAACACAGGAGCACTGCTCAACAACAACTTACATGACTCAAAGGCTCTCTGGCTTCACAGTTTGAGGAAAATGGCACCTTGGGACTCAAAAGATCAGTACGAGGATGTACAACAGTAGCAAAGTTTTTACAAAAACAGCGGTAATAACCAACCATTCCTAAAAATCTTCGCAGTTCACGTCGAGTGCGGGAACGAGGGAACTCTGTGACAGCTTGAACTTTGTCTTCCAGCATCCTTACAAATCCTTCACCTACTTCCTTTTATAGATAGGAGACAGTTGCCTTCACAAATTCACACTTCGCAAGGTTAACAGTGAGGTTGGCTTCAGCTAGCCGACTGAATAGCTCATACAGAGCCCTCATGTGGTCACTCCAGGAAGTGGTGTGACTGACAAGGTCATCTAAATATGCACTACAGTTATGCATGCCAGCTGTTATTGTGTTTATCAAGCGTTGGAACGTTGCTTTCACATCCCAAATGGCATGACAGTATACTGAAGAAAGGTATCAGGAGTTGCAAAAGCTGAAATTTCAAAAGCAGTGGGGGTTACAGGCACTTGCCAATATCCCTTTAAGAGATCTACTTTAGTAACATAAGTAGATCCTCCTACACTGTCAATACAATCATCAATCTGTGGAATTGGATAGCAACTGGGTACAGTTACAGCATTTACCTTCCTATAATCCATAATAAAACGGGGCGTTCCATCAGGCTTACGTTCAGTGATACATGGAGAACTCCAGGGACTAAAACTCGGAATGGCTAGACTCTTTTGAACCAAGTAGTCTGTTTCTTGCTTCATGAGACTACGTTTGAGTGGACTGGCCCGATAAGGGTGTTGTTTTATGGGTTTTGCATGAGAAATAGTCACATCATGGCTCAACACGCTTGTAAAGGTTGGCGTGTCAGAAAATAGACAACGATGGGAGTTTATC